TCTGTGCTATTTGAGTCTCAGTTTATAAGAATCAAGTGTTAGAACATATTTTCATTTTATTCACTAAACAAATGTATGCTTATCATGTATTTTAAAATGCATGCTATTTGTAGTATCTCATACATAGTACTCAACAAATTAATGTTGTACCATTTTCTCAGTCATTAAAAAATGCAGCAACTTTTTTGTGTCAAAGGTTGATGCTTAATTCATCAAAACATTACTGCTCCCCACTTTTTCCTTTTTTTCTGTACTCTGAGTTAAGTTTTGTCCTGGGAGTTTTAATCACCCGAAGGATCTTGGTTTTCTTCAGTGAAAATACCAAGGACCATTTTAAACAAGAAATATTTTTACTTTTGTGCAATGTTGTCAGGCTGTAGACACTCACAGAGAATGCTGGGTAGATTTTAAGACTTGAATGTTTCCTTTCCATAATATTTTACCTCCTGGAAAATAATTTCCTTCCTCATGACTATAGAAACCTGTAACTATGTTAGGACAGTGGATTGACTTTGTTAGCAAAAATGTAGTATTGATAATTACCTTGCAGAACCAAAAAGAGAGAAACTAGGTGATTCTGTACAATGATTTGGCTTTCCTTTTCTAAATGAGTACTCGTCAATGAGGTATTGATACTAAAGTCAGGGTAAGAAGTCTCAAATAGAAGAGTCATTTCTTAATAGCATAGTTTATTATTGTGCACTTGTCTTCATTTCAAGGGAAATTTTAGCTTCCTTTCCCAGTCTTTATGGTGTTGATTGGTTGCAACACACTTTTAAGCCACAAGTCTTTTGAATGCCAAGGTTGCTGGCTGGGCCTTGGTAGCTCTGTTCTTTCCACACCGTGATGTGGCCAGTGTCCTCACTCTTGCTTGCCCATGCAGAAGGCAAACTTGTGGTGGTCTTTTCAGGTCCTTCTCAAAGCTTTGCAGTGAACTCCCATAGGCTTCAGAGAAGGGAAAAGGCAGATTTGGGTTCTGGTGTTGTTTTTGTCAAGTTTGTCTAGGTACCCTGAAGTGATGAATGAACCAGAAGCAAAGACAAACTTTTCTTCTCCCAGCCCCATAAGCTCCCCACACACAGAAGGTGAGGCCTATTGACTGAGAAACAGGCTTGAGACTGGAGCTGAACATAACTGCAGTGCAGTTGACGTGATCAAAACTGGCACGACTCTTAGCAACAAAGGAAGTTCCCCTTGCTTTATTTCTTGATCTGTTGATGTCAGTTGTGCTCTAAGGAATCACTGGTTGCTGCCTGCCACAACAGTTTAACAGAGCTTAACAGTAGTATAATGTTATAGTGGCCAAAAAAAAAAGAAGATTCTAATGGCTGAGTACAGCATGAAGAGAAAAATAGGGCAACTAAAGGAGAACTTTACTACTTTAAAGAGCTTGAGCAATAAAATATATAGCTTTCATGGACAAGAAATGATGTGTGGATGTCATAGGCTGCTGAGTTGCCTAGGAGTACTTAATGCTTGACTACTCTCAGCAGCTTGGACACTGACATTGTTTCAGGTATAAATAAATAAGTAAAGACAATTATAAATAAATTCAGATATAAATAAAGCAATTTACTTGATTTCCATTATTCATCATCCTTCGTGTCAGCACTTCTAATTCAAGAAGAAGAAAAAAAAGAAATATAGGCAGTGTCAGCAGGGGAAGGAGTGTCAGCCAAAGAGAGGGGAAATGGCTTGACAGGAAGAGCTGGCTTAGACCACTGAAACATCTGCACAAGCACAGATGGAAATGGCAAAGATGTTTCATATGATGCTTTTAGTTATATTCACAACACGCAGGCACATGTATGTGTGCATTTGTTTGCACACACAAACACTTTTTTAGTATTCCTTTGGTTTTAAAACTCTTCCACAAAGAACTCAGGAACCTGAACTTCTCCTTTTGATGATATCTACAATATTTGTAAGCCTGAGCATTAATTATCATAAAAAGATACAAATGGATGTTTTCCTCTTTCCTCTAAGCTCTTAAATTCAGTAGGAGGTCAGATTCTCAAAAGTGGTGCATGCACACAAATTTAAATCATCTGTATCAATTTAATTTGAGAAGAGTGGTGTTAACTGACTATTGTGGTATCTCAGATGAAAACAGGATGCATCACGGTGTTTCAGGAAGAATGGTTGTGCTTAATTTTTCTGTGCTAGCTGTTTGTAAATAGAAATTGCTTTCTGTGTGTATCACATCTATGTTCTTTGCTCAACAAGACAGATGGGAGGGAATTTGTCATGGCGTGCTAGCTGTCTCTGTGAATGCCCTATGGGTGTTAACAATGACCTTTCTTGCATGGACAAGATAAATTAGACAGCCAAAGGTCTCTGTAGCAGTTTGAAATATCCACCTACCAGGATGGTCTTGGTATGCGTGTCTGTGAATGTTATTTTTATAGAATCTCATAACTCTTAAGTTTGATGTGATGGATTGAGAGAGGGATTGTGAAGCACCAAAATTCCAGAATTTTTCTTTTTTCCTTACATGCATGAAATAATTTTCCCTAGAGTAGCTTACTATGTTTGCAAGCCAGCCGTTATGAAACATGAGTGACTGAAACAGCTTTTGACAGCTGCTGAAGAAGAAGTAGACACATCAGTGAAAACATTTACTGAGTATGCAGTTTTTCCAGTTTGAGAACTCCTGAACACCCTACATTTTTATTTCATGTCTTCCTCGAGCAGACACTGAGTCTCACATCATGCAGCCCAAGGCAAAGTTGACTTCTGAATAGCCTTCAGCAGAGAACTTTCACAAAGTTTAAGTGTAAACACTTCAAAGTGTTGCTCGTGCTCTGAATTTTTGTGAGATCTGCTGGTCAGAGGTACTCTAAGGAAGGTCGTTTTTACTGTCCCTGTTATTTCTCTATGATATTTAGTGCTGTATCCTTGTCACACTGTAAAAGTAGGAGTTTCAAAAGCTTAAATAAAAGCCGTGACTCCTATGCCTGGATACCTGCAACCAGGATCGAAATATGTTCACTGAGATAGGCGCTTTATAAACATTCATCTGGCTGCCTTGTGCAACATTTAATGTGAATCAAATGTTTGGTTTTAAAAGCCAAGCAGCACTTGCCACTAACAACTTACCTCAGAAATCTGGAAAAACTAAAATTCCTATTTGTTTCTGACTGAACTTTTTTTCTCCTGATCATATATGTTGAGAATATAGGGTATTTTGTTCAAAATCTCGATTTCATACAGATTCCTATCATAGAACATTTGCCAGGAAAATAATAACACTGTTACACAGTACTTCATAATAAGTGCCAGTATGAACTCTCTGATACTGGTGTAAGAAACCTTTTTCTAGTTAGATTTAGTCTTTTTTTGGAAATCCATCATTAACTACAAAGGATAATTAAAAAAAAAAGAACACTGAAGTGAGGTTACAGGTTTTGAAATGGAGAACACACATCAGCAAAGATGATGAAGAAAATGTAGATGATGAAAATGTAGTGTCTGGCCTTTATTCTGTCTTGTTCTCTACTGACAAAATAGAATAAGAATTAGGTACTTGTAAAAGCAAATCATAAAACAAAGTAACATTGATTTCTTTTCTATCCTATAAAATTATTGATCTGTTTTTAACCTAATTGGCACTTGTGAACATAAATGGAAAAAACAGTCAGCTATTTATGGGATTCAAGTATTTGTTCTCTGTAAGAGAGTCCTAGGCTTCCTTGCTCATGGCTGTCCTACCAAGCAAAAGATCTGTGTGCAGTAGCATACAGTATTTGCTTTGTTCTCTTTATTTTTAATCTCATGTGTCCAATTATTTCTTGTAATTCAGAGAAATAACAGTGCTAAGGATGCCTTATCATACTGGTGTACTACAATTGAGCAGACACTGCTAAAGACGTAGTAGTTCAGTAAAAGTCATATCTAACATAGAAATGAGAAACAAACAACAGGAAAGAGAATACGAAGTTTTCCAGTTCAACTCCCCAGCGTTTGTGTGAATGAAAGAAACACTATTTTCCCCATATTCTGCTAAGAAGACTGTCTGAAATATTGGTTACAATAACATTTGCATTACAAAGGGTGTAGGTGGATGGGTCTCACATTCACATGCATAAGTGTATGCGTGTTTGAGAGATTAGTTGAGTTTAGATCAGAACTTCCTTCACTTTTAGACAAAGCAGCACTGTATGTATTGCGTGTAAATTCAGTGGTGGTGGTTGTGTTGGCTTCAACAGGCTCTGTCTCAGCCACCAAGTTGTACGGTTTAGATGTTGGGTTTGATGCTTGAGGGTTACGGCAGGTGAAATTTCACTGCCATCGGAGGTTTTGTGCTGAAGGCTGAAGCTTCTGTAAGAATCATCTGAATTGGGATGGGTGACAACCAATTACAAATCAGGAACACTGATGAAGAAAAAAGGCTTACAGTTGGTTGAGGTATTACATTTTTGAACATGGATTAAACTGCATGCTTTTCCTTGGTATTTGATATAGCTTATTTAACAAATGTTTATGTACTTATAGCTCAACCTTTCTTTTTTGGGGCCATCATGCAGTTCCTAGCAGTCATCCATATAAACTGCTGTCTTCACTGGGCTGTTGCAGATTGCTCTCCCCTGTTTGTGGCTGCAATAGGATGGCTCCTGTAGATAAGGAGACATGCTTCCACATCTGTTTCCCAGCACCCAAAAAAGAAGGCTGTGGTTCAAAATCTGCTTTAAAAGCTATTGCAAAAATAGCTGTATCTAGCTCACTTGGATTTTAAAGCTAGATATGGGTATGTTCCTTTCACATAAGGTTTGGAATAGCCCTCCAGTAGAAATAGTTGTGGAATAGTTGTGTATGTGTGTTACCTGTCTGCTGTATCTGTGTGCATGTGCTGAAAAGGGAGAAATAGGTGCCTCAGCAACTAGCCAGGTGTATTATTTTTGGCATTTTTAAACCTACAGGTATAAGCAAAGCCATGCTACATAATACCCCTCTGTGCTAACATAGTGCTGTTTTCTCTCTCTATTCTTGTATCAAAACAGAAGTACTCTGCTGTCTCTCTCTGCAACATATCTACAGAGGTCCTGAAAGTTATCAATGCCACTGAAGAGCTGATAGCAGAATCCACCGGTCCCTGTGATTTCCCAGATGATGTTCAGGACAAGGGAAGAGGTTCATTCCCACTGGGGACCGACCCCATCAGACTTGATGAGCAGCTCACCACACTGGAAGAAAATGTAAGAACACAAATCAGCATGTGAGTAGGTGTGTGTGTGTGTGTGAGGCAGCTGGAAAGAGAGAGTGCTTAGGCAGCATCAGCCTGTGGTATGAATTAGTCCTGTGTTGCTAAACAAATACACCAACAGAACCAAAGATCTTATTTCAACGCAGCGTATTCAGCTGTGTTGTGTGTTCCTTTTTTTCAGTGTTGTTATTTGAGAGAGGGGACGTGCTGTGTTTTACAACCAATTTCAGAAACCCTATCTTAAAAATTAACATAAGCCCTCCAAATCCCTGTGGCTGTCCAGCTGCGCCATGCCTCGCTGAAACCACGCATCCCCAAGTCCCAGCACAGCTTCACTGTTGTAAGGGCAGGTAGGGAAAGCCTGCCCCAAGTCACACAGAAAAGTGGAGGGCTACTTCTCCGTGCACACTTCCCCAGCACTGTGCACCAGGAGCCAGTAAGAGCAGCAGGCTGGAGGGGTCAAATTAAACAAACATCTCCTTTTTCATGAGTGCCTGTCATCTTCAGGAAAGGTTTGATGCTGAATCAGAGAGAAGTCACAACCCACTGGAATATTTTCATGGACCCACGTAATGCAGTTGGTACATTTGTAACTTGATTTTCTCAGCTTCCCACATCTAACTGATCACTTTTCAGTGGTTTTTCGCTTCATTAGGAGCTTTTAAAGATCTCACAGGAATCCACTCCTATTATACCATCCCGATCAATTCAAGAAAGCACATCGTGTATGTCTTTAGCCCCCAGAAAATTTTCAAAGACAGAATCTCTTCTTAGGGGAAACTGCATTAAAAACTATCTGAGGTGCATTTTTTACTCACTTAAGCTCCAGCAATCCTTCATGTCCTTCTTACTATTTGACATCTGTGGTGCTGTGATCTCCAGTTGCATTTGGGCCGGGCATTTCTCACTGAGAAGATACTGTATGCTGAGGCAGAGCACTGCTTGCTGTGGTGTTCATTAATAAGGCTCAGCTCAGCCTTGCTGAGACCCCACACATCTTTCTCTGCTCCAGAAAGGATTTTGAAGTAGGTGGCAAAAGTGCTTGCTGTCAGGATTGCAGTACTGCACATCCACAGATTTAAAGAGCCTTAAGAAATTCAGGAATGCAGGATTTTTACCAGTGCAGATGGGGGCACACATGCATGCGCTGCATCCTCTTGGAAGCCTCCTCCTCCTCCTCTGGAAATACACCATTGCTGTTTGGAAGTTCAGGTAAAGAGAATCTTTCTATTAGGGAAAACCTTCTATTTAGATGTAGCTGGAAAATGATCAATAAAATTGAAATTTAATAAATGTAGAGAGTGACTGAGTTACAAAAATATCATTGACATTCTTTCTTTTTTCTTTTTTCTTTTTTTTTTTGTGGTCTCTTTCTGAAGAGGTTTGTTATTACATTGTCCCTTTTCTTCTTTCTCTGAGCTTTTGGATATAATAGATAAATCCAAAAAAGGACCTGTTAATCTGAAGTGGCTGTTGTATGTTGGACCACAAAGACACTTCACTGAAGTAAATGGAAAGAATAATTAAAACCCACAAAAGCAGGAACAATTATATTTAGATATAATGTCACCTTCACAGTCTATATCTGTCTCTAAGTACTTGAGCAAAGGTGTTAAATCAGGTCACTTGTTTGTTCTGAGTACATTTTAGAAGGATTTCTTGCCATTATATTGCCCCTTAGAAAATGCAGTTCATACAAGATGTAGTGAGTTTGTTTCTTAGCAAAAATATGAACAAGATATGTATACATTCATGCCTTGAAACAATGAATACAAAGAAAAAATTGCAAGCAACTAAGAGCTTAATAACAAAATAAAATAATAATAATAATAATTATTATTATTATTATAGTAATTCTTCATCACTTTAGACCCATAAACTCACAGTGTGGCCAGAAATTATTTAAATACCTGTTACATCAAAGGACTGCAGGGTCTGGGAGTTACAGGCAGAAATAATGACTTGAGTGCAAGACATATGTAGGGAAGTTACACTCAAGGATCTGCTTCTGATCCTATTTGTTTGCCCATTGAGCCATGAAGTCTGCCACAGGGTATGTTTAATTCACGGTCTTTTTGTAGCACTGCAGCCTTTACTGGTGTTGGGGTGAATGAAACTGCCAGTGGGAAAAATGAGAAAATATATTTCATTTCCACTGTCCTGTTACCAGCCTCATGGAACAGTCTGTTGGCTATCTTATAAATAGGCAGAAAGAGTAGTATTTTGACAAGGGTCAGCACAGTTTTAAGCACAGTTGTCAAAAGCTGGTGTTAGAAAATCACCCTTTTCTATAAACCAAGAACCTCCATTCAGCTGTAAAGAAACACATAAGACACAGTGCATTGTGAATTAGTGCTCTGAGTGGCAGAATGGGAAATGAAATCTCTTCTTTCAGTTATCAGAATTATCATAAATGGGTCAACCAATTTAACCAACCAATATTGTTTTTAGGGAAGATCTCTAAGTTATGGCATCTGTCATTCACGTGTTGCCCAGATAAGTCTATTGACTCCCCACAGGGCCAGGGGATGGCAAAACTTTTGGCTGCTGCATATTTGTGTGAGACCCGAGTGAAATGCAAAACTGTGTTGTACATCTGAGCACCATTATTTTATAAGAAGTTCATGGCCACATGTTGCTGGACTGTTATTCTTGCACGGTTTTTGATTGCCAGAATGCACTGAGTGTGAATAATACTGAAGGCATTAAGTGTTTCAGTAAATACTGTTTTACATGAGGTGTGATCTGTTGACTTTACCTTGCGAGCTTTAATTTTTGTTGTGAAATTGAATGTTAAAAATAGAAAAGGAAACTTTTAAGCATTCTTTTGTGGTTTGGTTTGGTGTGGGTTTTTTTTGCTAGTGAATCCAGAACAAGTCTTTTTTGGCATAGCATTGTAGCACCTAAGGGATTTGGAGTTCATCTTCTTCATTCTCCTCCCTTCTCTTTACAGATGTGTGTTTTTGGATTATTCCTGAATGGTTTACCTCTGCCAGCACCTACTAGCAATGACTTAGTGAGGAGGGGAGCTCAGAGGTGTCGTGGAGAACCTCTGTGCTCACAGAACAGGAATCACTGCCCCTGTCCCCCCACAGGTGTACCTGACGGCCAGCACAGTGTATGGCCTGGAGGGGCAGCTGACCAGCCTGGAGGATGCAGCACGGCAAATCAGCAGCGTGACAGCAGAATCGGAGCTGGCTGAGCTGGAGGACCAGGTGGCCACTGCAGCTGCCCAGGTGCATCATGCAGAGCTGCAGGTGAGGACGGCTGCTCCTCGCCACTCGCTGCTTCATGCCGCCTTCCCTCCCTTCCACCTGCACACGCTTCTTTGCAACATTCTCTTGTACTGCAGCAAACTCTCGGTCCAAGGATACATGACTGCATCACAGGAGCTGAGCAAAGCACAGCTGACACGTGTCGCTCAGCACAGCCAGATGTACTGTATTTGTTCCTTCCCCCAGCTTGTTTTCAGACAGGAGTGCAGCAGTGTGTTACTGTAGTACTGTCCCTGCTCCTCGCTCCCATAGAGATCGTGTGGTGTGCTGTCATGCATGGGGCTGTTGTCTGACTGCAAATGCAGCCTTGGCTAGTTCTGATCAACAGATTGTAGAGCACTCTGTAAAGAAGCCAGGGTGGATCAACCTGAAAAGGTCAAGGGCAGAGCTCAGCATTTGCAAGTCTGCTTTGGGATTTGACTGCTGAGCCATGCACAGCCCAGCAAAACGCAGAGGCTCCTGTACTATGTGGCCTAGTGTCTCTCTAGCAGGTTCCAGGAAGTCTGAGATTGCAAGAAACTTCAAGGCCTGATCAGAAAGCTGAACAAGATAAGGCTGCCACGCTGCACGGGTACAGTGCACACATGAGTAGCAGTGTGCTGCAGTGCTTCCTGACTTGGCTGTGCCACATGATGGCCTCAGCAGGGCACTGCCTGTTTATTTTGCTCAGTGGAAGTGTGCTCAAAGCCCTCAGTTTGACACTTTCCAGACGTCAGAAGTGCAGTGCTGAAATAAATGGCAAATTGGCAGTGGCCTCATTGGCCATGGTCGGTAATTTCTGCTACGCACCTTAATGGAAGTGAGAAGAGAGGAGGGGAGAGGCCTGAATGATGAGAGCAGGATGACAAAAAGATAGCATGCAATTGGACTGAAGGCCCTCTGCAGAACAAACACCTCAGGTGTTGTAAATCAGGAATCAGATTAACGTGCAGCTGACAGCTCACTTCTCTGACACTCATCAGCCTACTTTCCCCCTACATTTGCTTCCCTGGCCTGTTGTTTCTCCCAGCAACTTCTTTTCCATTGAATGCTTTTTCATAGTGATACTTGCATTTATGCATGTTTGTGTTTAGCATGCATATTACTTACAACAAATTTTCAAGATCAAACGTTTGCATTTTGTGACAGAGGATGTACTTTGTGTGTGCTTGAAATTAATTTTGAATTATGAAATGTGTCCCAAACAGTAGTTGTTTAAATGTAGCCTTTGAAAAACACAGCTTGAATGAACCTGGAAGTATAGCTAGCAGTAACTGGGAGATGGCAGACAGGGGATTCTCTTCTTTTTTTTTTTCCTCAAAAGGAGCAAAATGCTTTTTCCTTGGAGTCACACAGTAGGTTGGATTGCTCTTTCTCTTCATCTTAATTAACCCCCTTTTGACATCAGGACTAAAGTATACAGGAAAGCAAAGTGTCAGAGTTGCTGAAGAGCTCAGCCATCTGTTTGTATGCTTTGATTAAAGAAGATGTGACTGGGGGGAGGGATATATTTTAGTGGTGGCATCCATAGTAATTTTCAAACTTCTTTTTCCCCCTCCCCATCTGTCTGTCTGTCTCTCTCTCTCTTATTTTCTTTGAAGATTTCAGATATTGAGAGCAGAATATCAGCTCTCACTGTTGCAGGCTTGAACGTGGCTCCATGTGTTCACCTGACAAGGAAACGGGATCAAAAGCAAACAAACCAGGTGCCAGAACATTATGTAGTATTCAAAAATACATTGGGGAAATCTTGCCTCATTTTCCATAATGGAGTTGAGTAATGCATTTGTGTTGTTTTCAGATGCATACTATTGACACCTCAAGACAGCAGAGGAGGAAACTTCCAGCTCCACCAATAAAAGGTGCACTGAAGTTGTTACCTGTGCTATGTTTGTAGTCTCTCCTTAGAAATTTCAGTGTAATGTACAATTCAACAAAATAGGGGTGAGATTAAGTTATAAAATGAACAGAGAAAGCCTAGATGTGTCCACCCTCTTCATTTGCCATTGCACTTGTAAGAATAAAATACACGTTCAGTACATAAAACATCACCACTCCCTCTTCCAGCAGATGGTATGAGAGTAGCAAATTAGCAGGAGCAGAAGCAAAAGGTTGGGAAAAGCAAATGAAGCATGCTGAATTCATGTCTTGTAGAAGTTAGGCTGCTGCCAAGCACACAAGGGTAGGCTGTGAGGGGCAGGCAGTCATAGGGCTCATTGCCACTAGCCACTTGCCACCCTTCACAGCCTACAGCTGCTTTCTTAATGACTGTGCCTACCAAGTTCAGTCCATGTTACCAGGCTCAGAGATGTGGCTAGTATGCTAGAGTATGGCTGTGAATTAGTTTTGTAAAATACAGTGCTCTTTTCTTCCATGTTTCCTTCATCTCTGACAGTTTTACATCCTGCTTTACTCTTGTGTAATTCCAATATTTGACATGGCCTCTAACTTTAGTAAACTTCCAGTATCACAGCATGCTGTTTCCCATTTAAATTAAATCCGTGTTTTGTCCTAGGGGAAGTTTTTGTCTTATTTGTCCTAGGGGAAGATTTCTCCCTCTAGCAGCTGTGACTCTTCAGGAGCATTGCTACGTTGGCTGCAGTCTGTTAAGTGAAAAATCTCCATGTTTGTATTTTTCCCAGGTGAAAAAATAGATGGGTCTCCAATTACCACTGTCAGAACATTTAACAGAAACTTCATGCTTCAAGGATCTCTAACACAAAGAACTAAAGAGAGGAAAAGCACTGCCAAGGACTTACTGGTAAAATCAACACAAATGTTTTTAAAGCTGCTTATGAAGTGGGTTATATAGAGAGATGCCAGCGTAGGCAGATGTATTTCAACATCTTCACAAAACTTCTCTTAATAGTGTGAAGAAAAATAATACATTGCTCTAAACGATTGTGTTTGTTATACTGGAAGCTGTCTGACTATACACCACCAGCACATAGCAGCTGTTTGCTCCTGAATGTTAGCCTGTAGGAATGCATGCCAGCTGTCAGGTAATTAATTAGGTGCTATCCTTATTTAAAGTAAAGAAATAAAGCTGTGGTCCTGCAGTTCAGGCCCTCCCAACACCAACTGCACAGTGCAGTTCTACAGGTGAGGGGTCATCCTGAATTGCACTGATTTCTGAGAAATGTTCAAAGGTAGCCTAGGTGAAACTTGAGGAGTAGGCAGGCAGGCCGTGTGTTGGCAAGGCAGGATTTGAACAAATAGGTTTCACTGCAGAACTATCAGTCGTCGTTGATCTTTCTTCAAGGAAAAAAATGTTAACTGTGCCTAAGCAGTTTGCCATTAGATAAGTGGAAGAGAAATGAGGAAGTGAGAAGGACCAGGCTCCCTTTGGCAGGCTCGTTTTGTGTTTGGCTGATGTTTTCTCTCTTCCTTGTCCCTCTCTATTCCAGGAACCTGCTATAGGATCTGCTGTGATGTACTAAACTTTGACTTGTCTACTGCCAATAACACACTGCCTAAGGCTGTACACTAGAGTGCCTTTACTTAACAGCCATTGTGTATGTCCAGCTGAAAATGGACCCTCAAGAACCCACAATGCCTCAGTTATAGGGCTTTGTTTGGATACCTCACTGAGAAAGCTGTCCAAGTCTTCAGCATTGTGGTCTGCTAAAGGAAACTCTGCCTTAAAGTTCTCACAAGACTCTGGAAGGGACGCTGAGTTTCAAAAGCAAGGCTCCACATTTTAAGATGCACTTTTTCTCCCCATTGATTGTACTAAAGTATGTCGTCTTTAAACTGCAGTATGTTTTTGTACTCTCAGTCAATCACAATTACAGGCCAATATTTCATACCGAAAGAGTGAACAAAGCAGACCTGTGATCCACATTTGCTGGCCTCTTATATATGTAGGCATCTGTCTTGTCGAGCAATAAGAACAACTCTGTGCAGTGTATGCTGCTTTTAGCTGCTTGGTGAGAGTGGAGGATCTGTGTATCTAACTGCTCCCCCGGAGCCAGAGGAGGTTTTGACAAGGCAGGTGGGAGGAGATGCGATGTGCAAAGACTTCTCTGTTCGCTCAGAGTACCTTTGACAGAGTTCTAGCTCCAGGGCTCTGTGTTCTGCTGTCGGAGATGGGGGGGAGCGTGGATGTCATGATGAGCCATGAATTGGTGGTACGCAGCACATGTGGACCAGATGTCTGCTGGGTTACAGTCCTGGCATCTGGACACATCTGAGTACTGTTGTGAAACCACCACCTTTGTCTGTCTCGTTCTTCTTGGTATCATTGTCCGCTTGGTGATGTCCAACCACTCTGTAGTTCAGAATCTGTTCTGACCAAGTCTTTAAGATTGGAGAAAGAAAGTAAAAGCGCCGTGGGTGAGATCTCTGCTGACTCACTGGTGGCTGTGAGGTGGCTGCAACCTGTAAGAGATTCCCTTCTGCCACTTGCTGTCTTTTCTGAGGAGGAGATGAATGTAGCCCAGATGTCTTTTCCTTCACCCATCCGTAACCAATTTGGTGTAGTACCTAGGGCCTGTCACTGGTGCTCACTACAAATGGACCACTCTGAATTGGACTGTGAGTCACCAGATGTCTTCTTTCCTTTCCTGAGACCCCAGAAATTTGCACCAAACCCTGGAAAGCCTTTGAACAGATGCCCATGAGGGAAGATGCTGCTTACAAGCTGTCCCTCTCACCCTTTCTGGGAAGGGCCGTGCCAATTTGCAGTGCTTTTTGTTCTGGGTTGTACAAAGGAATTTGTTAGAGAAGGTAAGTGTGAGGCCGGTGAATCTTTTGTATGCCACACAATGCAGTGCAAGTATATGCAGATATATGCACACATATGCAGACTGGGCAGATGGGAGGCATGCTGTGAAGGAGGACATGAACTGCTAAGATCCCCCACAGCTGAAGGGTCAGAGGACACCTCCCTGAAGTGTCTCTGTCCTTTGCTGGTACCTACAGAGCAAAACCTAACGCTCGGAGTATAGCAGGGCGTAGGAGGCAGGGGAGGCTGGTAAGGAAGGGCTGGATGGGCAGGCTGGGGAAACAGCTCCAGTCACGTATCCACCTTGAGTATTTGAAGCTGAGCCCGTCAGCGTGCTGCTGTCCAGCCGTACGTAGGGACATGTCACAATATCTACAGCCATCTTCCTTCCTTGGAGGCAGAAGTGTTGCTCCATCTCTCCCATGAATTTCCATCTGCCGAAATGTGGCTCGATGTGTTTATTCTGGGTGAAATTACGCCTTCTCTTACTCTCACACAATACCAGTTCTCCAGAACTGGTTTGCATAGATGTGAGGGCAGAATTTGGCCCGCTCTGTTTAATATATAAGTATATATATAACAATAGACTTTATTTATATATGCAATCCATAAAGGAGATTAAACAGAGTAGGATGCCTAGGAATTTTCTGTTATGCAGTCTCCTCCTCCTCCCTTGACTGTTCTCGTGTATGTATACAACACATTCCCAGGTTCTGGTTAACGCAGGTATGTGTGTTATGAGATGTCATTACTGGTGGTTGGTCTACATATTCGTCTAATAATAATAACCAATATTGTGTATGATGCAGAAATGACTAATTTTAATAGAATAACTCTTTGGCTTTTGTTCTGTTAGCGTGATTTAAACAAGCCAACAAAGTTTGGAATAGGTTGTTTTCTTTAAGAGGCATGAAAAACAACTATTATCGTGTTACAATGTTAAAATATTCAGTCTTCTTTGACAGAAAAATGTGTACTGTGTAGGCATTGCAAAAAAAAAAAAAAGAAAAAAAGAAAAAAAATCCCACCTGCTACATGGCATTTGAATTTTTACAACTGTTTATTGTGCCAAATATGTGCAAAGATATAATTTACTGTTTTAAAAAAATCATGAAAGCATACGTTATAGCACACAAAGGATTATTTTGTCATCAAGTGATTTCAATCTTTAGTGTTAATATTTATATTTAGATTAATTTTTATAAATGAAAATATTTTAACAGGTAAAATGAAGGCGATATGATCAATTTGATTGAGTCTGAGTGGATATTAAGCTTGCCTTGTTGTTGTTATCTGCATACTCACCAAGAATTATTGTCAAGAGAAATTATAAAAGAGTAAAAACAATTTATGAAAAAAATGCCTTTCCAAGGACTTGATTCATAAAGAAAACACAAAAGCTCTCCTCTGTAGTGTGGATCTGTGTGGCCTTTGGTCAGGAAACACTCTGCCCACACTGCTGCATCACAAACAACCATTCTCAGTTAAATGCAAATGGGCAACCCAAAGTCCTCTTGCTCGGCTGAAGGGAGAAATAACCCCTACCACCTCCAGGTCAGGTCATTTTCCAGGGAGGTGGAGCATCCGTACCTTACTGACAGAGCACTCACAAACAGAAACAAGAGTTGAATTACCTGCTATAATTAATGCAATCTTTATTAAATTTTAGTAGTGATTCTAACAAAGCACGACTAGGAATGCGAGTTCATTCTAGTTTGTCATCTATTGTCATCTATAAATATTGGAAGGCCGCAATGAGTTCTCCCCACAGCCTTCTCTTTTCCAGGCTGAGCAAGTCCAGTTCTTTCAGCCTGTCTTCATAGGAGAGATGCTGCAGTCCTTGGATCATCTTCATGGCCCTGCTCTGGACCCTTTCCAAAGCCCCACATCCTTCCTGTGTTGGGGGCCTCAGACCTGGATGCAGTATTCCAGAGGGGGCCTCACCAGAGCTGAGTAGAGGGGAACAATCACCTCCCTTGTCCTGCTGGCCACCCCTCTTCTGATGGACCCCAGGACACCATTGGCCTTCTGGGATGCAAGTGCACACTGCTGGCTTGTGTTAAATTATTCATTAGCCAGGACCCCTAAGTCTTTCTCAGGAGGGCTACTCTCAAGGACTTCTCCTCTCAGTTTGAGTAGACACCTGGGATTACCTTGACCCAAGTGCAAAACCTTGCACTTTTTTTTAATAGTAATTATTTTTTAATTTTCTGTCCTTCCTCGGGGACAAGATAGTTATCTTTGACAGAGGCTCCTTTTTGTTCACTGATATATTTTCAGCAGCACAGCAAGAATGATAAAAGGCCAGAGTGTATTTCAGGGCTGCATTCCCACAAGTGAATGTTAACACTCTGCATAAAAGCTACAGATTTCATGCCGTTAATGCAGGTACGTTAAAAAGTAACGAGAGCCTTTTTTCTTTCATCCAACCATTGCTTTTTATTTTTACATACCAACAGCCATTGACTTTAAAATGTGACAGGAGGATTTCATGGTACACTAACACTGTTGAGTTTAAATCCCAGCACAGGAGCTCTTTGGATTTTGGGTAAGAGTAACGTTACAGTGTGCAGCATCATCACAGCTCAGAGAAGGGAACGGCGGTGATTAAAGAGAGAAGAAACGCTTTTTAAAGCTATGGTTACACTTAGTGCTGGCGTCAACGCATTGCCTTTTACCTCTACTCTCAATGTGTTTCTTCTTGAAGGAATTTGCCGCAGCAGAGAGAGGAGCAGCATGGGATTGCCAGGCAAAAGCAGAGCCCTGAGGTGCAGGCAGGGGCAACTTGGAGAGCAGAGGTTAGGTCACCGCCTCGGGACACAGCCATCACCAGTCACCGTGTTCTGCATCCAACACTTCCTGCTCCCACAAGGCATTCAGGAGGAAATCCAGGCGCCTGCTCACAGGCCTTAAGCTTCCACGGCCACTTCTCAGCTGCCTCTTCCCAAACCGGCCAATGGGTCGAACACCACGTCCCACGTACCAAAAGGGATCAATCTCAGGGCCTGGAATTCAAAGAGCTGGGTTGATATTTTTTTTTCCTATGGAATGCACTCATAGTTGGCCTTATAGCCTAGTTTAGTTCTACAGCAGGTGTGGAGAAGGTATAACACTAACGTACAGCGTCAGTGAAAATGAACAAACACTGGAGGTGATACCAAATCATTCCATAGACCCCAAAGGGGTGTCAGGAACAGGACTTCAAATGTGTAATGAAGTATGAGAGTCACACAGAAGTCTCACACAGGGCAGCAGGATTTTCCCCTGTGAGTTTTGCTGCTTGAACTCAGAAAACCAAACAAAAGATCCACTTTTGTTTCTCCACACAGTGTTTAACGTCCCGCTGCCTGCCAAATCCCAAGTCATTTCTTTATTTTGACTCAAGGACCTAAAAACCAAGACTGCCTACATCTCCAGTTCCCTCTGTAAGGAGAGGGATGTCCCCCTGTGAGCCTGTGGCCTTACTTCCCACACGCACCTCTTGCTCACTGCACTTTCAACCATGAGCCATTGCTCCTTGGGGGGAAGGTGAGATTTGACAATACAAATTTTCCCAAAAATACTTTGGTTTGTATATTAGCTTTTGCTTGGGACATACAGTGCTCTCCTTCATTCAGGTTGGTTCTTCGCAGTATTTCTGAACAAGCATGCTTCAGACACTTGTATTTTGACTTTCAGACAATTTGATGTTGGAGGCTGTGGGTGCCCCATCCCTGGAGGCATTCAAGGCCAGGCTGGATGTGGCTCTGGGCAGCTTGGTCTGCTGGTTGGTGACCCTGCACATAGCAGGGGGTTGAAACTAGGTGAGCATTGTGGTCCTTTTCAACCCAGGCCATTCTATGATTCTATGATGTTTCCAGACACAAATTAGGACCTCTGTTAAGCACATATAAGCAACCGGCGCTTGCTTTATTACTTCTTAAAAGTAAATGTTAACTGTCACAGATCTGTGGAACATAGCTGAAAATAAGCTGTTTAAATAGTCAATATAAACTGCCTTGCATTTTGTCAGTCTTTTGTACATTGGTGTATTCTCAGGTATTTATTAACAATTGCAGTATTTCCCTTGACAAATTCAGGGCTATAAGGTAGAGATTAAGATCTGTATATGCTCTTAAAAGTGTAAATTGAAGAGCAGGACCTCCCTCCACTGTTTTACCATAGAAACACCTGCAAGGATTTGCAGTTGAACTCTGCCTGGCAGCCTGACCCTGATCCCTTGTAACCAGGGGCCACAGGATCACCATCACATTGCATCAGGTGAGAGTCATACTTACTTCTGTTGTCTATTTGATGTTTAAAAGGTCTGCTCTGTCTCGAAGCAAAGCTGAGCGATACCAAGAGCACCAGCATGTAGATGGTGACCAGCTTTAAGTGCTTTGGTGACCACGGGGGGTGCGATGCCCACAGGATCAGATGCCACATGGTGGAGCGACGGTAGGAAGGCTGTGAGGAGGAAAGTGGACATAGGGACATCAAAGATCTCAAGGTGAAGGAAGATGTCAGTTGTGACTGCACGTTCCTATCAGGGCCATTTCATGACTCAGTGCTGACACTGGGGATGTCCTGAGTATTTCTGTTTAAAGACTGCTGCGAACCATCTACTGAGTTAAGACATGCAGCTTGAGCTTTCCCTCAACATCCATGAAAGCCCATGGCACAGCTTCACAGGCATAGAATCCCAGCCCTGAGGCTGCCACTGACCGTCCTCATGGCCTTTCATATGTGGGCACTGGACATCAGTACGTTCTAGCCATTATCTCCATCATTGTATGGGGCTGCTGAATCACGGCCTGAGCCTCTGATTGACCACCTGAGGCGAGCACTGAGTCAGCCATGGAGCACAGGTGAAGGCGATTCAGCTGTGCTGCAGGAAGGCGTGGAGCCTGGCTGCACCTCTCCTAGACCCATTTAAGAGCTGACTGCCAGCAGGGAAGGGCCTCTTCTGGAGATCCACTTCACTGGAGTTTTACAGCAAGCCCAGGATAGGGTGAGTGTCCTTCTTTCCTACTCCAATATAATAATTACATCAGCCAAGCTCCTGGATATACTATATCCTCTGTATATTCATTGACTGCACAATCACCCTTTCCCCACTTGTGAGATACCTTTCACATTTATATTTTAAACAATCTCTTTACATCTAAATACATTAGAAAATCTTCTTGAAAGGAAATCATCTTCTTATGTGAGCTTTCACGGATAGCAGGCGAAAGTATGATTTCCGGTTTTGTTTCCACTGTTAGTTCTTCCAGTCCTGTAAATGCATTTAGATGCAACAGCCAGAAGGTGCTGGGTTGGGAAAACAGCATGTAGGAGGTGCCTGATCCTGGCCTCTACTTACCACTACACCCTGTATGTGTGACATCTTGGTCAAGCTGCATCACCTTTCTCCAGTTGTAATGCTAAAAGCCTACCTTGTGCAAAATCTAACTGTATTTGACAGTCTGGAGCCTCTGGCAGTGGAAGTAAGGGGAAGCCTTGCTTGCTTAAGTGTCACTTAAGAGATGTACAGGTACAGAGCTACAGGAAGTACTCTTGGCTATGCCCACACTGAAGCTGCTCCCTGTGTGAGGGTGGGATTTTCCCCTTTTCTGCTTCAGCACTGTTATGCTCAAATCTTAGCTCATTTTCAGTGTGGGCAGAGCAGGAATGGAAAAACTCTTGATACAAGTTGTTCCCAAGCATGTAGCAAGGGCAACAAAAGAAAAAAGACAGAATCTGACAATGTCTTTTATTGCAATACAAAGTCAAAAGCTCTTTAACTTCTACTGTTCAGTGCCGGTGTATTTTTTCCCCCACTCTAGCAGTTGCTTAGCGGGCAGCTTAGAGAAAAGCGATTTTAACCAGTAATTTTAACAGAACTGTGAGTTGATTTTTTTACACTGAATATTGCAGAGGCAACTGGCACAGAATGTTCTTTACGTGTAAAACAACATGGGATGCGTTCTGTGCACCAATTCCAGCTGGTGTATGTCGCAGTGAGACAAAAATGAAGGTGCTTAAGGAATCTCTCCCGTGTGCTTACACAGCTGCAGACGGGTTTTCTGGATTACTTGCTGCCTGGTTTTGTGTACAGCTTTTCTGGGAACTTACTGGTGGCAAATGGCAAAAATAAAAGGAAGAGCTTTTAGCACACAGTTTTTCCTAAGCAGTGCTGTGTGTCAGCATCCAACATCTGGTCCTCTGCCTGAATCAGCCAGTCAGGACACTTCCCAGACTGCCGCAGTGTGTTCAATGTTCTGTTTGCCCCCTGACCTGGCTGGGGTTTCAGTGAAGCACGTGGCTCTCCTCTGAGTAACTTGCAATGCCCAAATAATCAGGGGGCCCGGCATCTCCAGTTCTCCCTAATTCTTCCACCTTCTAATTTTCCTATCTCTGCTTATATGGGGAGAAACTGAGGCAGAAGTGATGCCACCAACTTGACCCCAAATGATGCCAAGCAACTCTAACCCCAGCTCCACCTTTCTCTAGGCACAAACGAGAAGTACAAATCCCTGTTTACCTGCTCACAGGTCTTTTTGTTGGCCCTGTGATCTCCTCAGGTCTGGATTTTCCTAATCCCACAGCCTACCAGCCTTCTTCCAAAGGGAAAACTGTAAAAACAAGACGATGTGGTCTCCTTGCCTGCTCCTCATTTCCAACTGTTAAATGATCACCAAAAAGCTTTAAAAATGCACCAGTTTCAACCAAACGTGACACAAAAGTTTCAGGAACAGTTTTGCTCCTGGAGCAAAGCACAAAGTTGGCACTTCTGCCAATCCAGTCAACTTCTTCTCGGTCCCTGTGCAGAGCCTTTACACTTTGGCTGAGCAATATTGATGAGAGCAGTCTGGCAACTTAGAGCAGCATCGGAGGAGAAAGTTACAGCATATTCAAGTCACTGGTAAAGTTACAGTGAAGCACTCATTTCTATTTCCAGCTAAGCCCACAAGGAAGTCACTAAATCTAGGTCCCATTTCTGGCCTTCAGTCCCAGCCCCAAGCAGTGTGGGGGCAGCCTGGCCCTCCCAGCCCTCCTGCTGGGCACCCGGCTCACAGCACACTGAACCTGAGCTCTGCTACAGATCCATCAGATCTAAACTGATCGTGGGTATCTTCAGAAGACAAAGTGCTACAAATTCCTTAAACCCTAAAGCAGCATCTTACTCAAGACCAGCAACTGCAGACCTTCTTCCAGTGCAAACCAATCAACTTTCACGCTTGAAAGCAGTGGTGGAAACCTCTGCCAGAGCTCAAACGTGGGGTGACTGTAGGCCTGGGAGCAGGGCTCCCATCACCACCACACCTCAGGCTCCAGTGGGCTCCGTCCCTGCGGAGCTGTGTTTCCTCAGCACTGCTTGCTTTGCTGCCAACACCGGACAAAGTGTTCAGCAACAAGCACAGTTATGTACGTTAGTGGAGAAAAGTAAAAGCTGAAATAAAAAGGAAATCCACAGGAGAGAGGTGCCGAAGCAGGTAGCAGGAGTCACTCACCTGTGCACAGCAGGGCTGCTCCTCACGATGCGCTGCTCCCAGCAAAAGCAGGGCAGATGCTGGGGTCTTGTGGCTTTTATAGCACAGGGAAGTGGGCTTGAAGGCGGGGAGAGCCAAGAGGTGGGCCAGGAGGACGTCAGCGATGCTGGAGAGCAAAATTTAAATTCACAAAGGGAGGGGAAGAGAAGTGAGGCTCTGTTAAGAGAGCTATTGATCAGGGCAGGGAGCAGGAGACAAGGGTAGTGCCAAGTTCAGCACAGAGCAGAGCCCACCTCCCCCCTCCCCATAGTCTGTAGCAGCCGTGCTCCTCTTCTTGCTGTCCCCATCCGAGGCCACATGTGGAGGAGCTCTCATCTGATCCATGGCTGGGGCCAACTCAGCCTGCTTATGTGTGAGGCCCTGCAACTGACTGAACCCAGCCTGGTTCAGCAGCATGCCTAAGTGTGGATAAGTGCTGTGGCAGGGCAAAGTTTCATCTGCACGAGGCTGAGATCTTGGGCAATTCTGCATTTCTACAGCATCCATCTCTTTGGCACAGCTGTTTTTACCTCTCTCTCTTGACCAATGTGTTAGCACAGTTCTTGCTGATAAGAATCCACTGTTTAGCACCTATATTCACCACCAAGTTTTGCAGCATTCATGCCGGCAACTGTTCCCCTTCTCCATCTGAGTCCTGAGGAGAGGCTGAAATGTGAAGGGACCAGGGACTGAGCCACGGGGTTCTGTTCAGGCAGAGGATCTGCTCTGTGCCTGGTGAAGCTGAGCATCTGCAGTGAGCACCTCCATAAATCTCCGCTCAGGGAAGCTGGCCCTGAGATGTGACTCACTCCACAAGCTGAGAGTGAATAGGAAATACTACAACAAGACCTGTTCAGTTTTTCTATAAAGATGCTCCCATGCCTCTCCCTGGCTTACTCAGTATCCAGGCATCAAGTGGGTAACCCCACCACCACCCTATCTCTGCCTGAGGAGGAGGTGATCACTAATTTGTGTGGTTAAAATGAATCTACCCTTTATATACAGCAGTTTTCTCTATGTGCATGTGTATGAACACACGGAGTAAAGCCTAAGAAATACTCTTCCTCTCTCCAGTTTCCACTTACTAACAGGTAAAAGAAGTGTCTTCCTCATCAAAGTTTTCAAGAGTTTACTCAGTCTACTTAGGATCGTGTACCATAGCAGCATGTGAAGAGCACTTCAAGTCTGAGATAGCACAAAAGGTCTTTCTGCACCTAACGCAATCGATATACATGCTTTCTTCAGCAACCTCCTATTAGCATCTTCGCTTTGAACCTTGCAAATACCCCCTACTTAAAAATCAATCTGCTCCCAAGAGCCAGTCAGTGGCTGTGCTTCCATTGTGCTAATTCCATGTGCACGCCTGGAGAGGGTGTCTTCTCACTAAGTAAAGCCCTTCAATGCTTTGGATCACAGATCTTCTCCCTACATGTTTATTTTGGCCACAAAATCTAGTATCAATTCTTGATCTCTAGTGAGCAACTGCCAGAATGAGAGCTTCTTCTCTGCTGGATGTGTAGCATGTATTCTTGTTTTGCTAAGTGACCCTATCATCTTAAAGCAGAAATAAAAGCCAATTTACTCCTTCTCCCCTGGCTGCCATTGCAACTGCAATGGGAGCCTTTCGAGAGCAGAGAATTTTCACTGGTTTATACCTACTCAGAAGTGACTGTGTAAAACAAAACTGTGCAATACCTTTGTGTTAACATGGTTTGCTGCTTATAGATAAATGTGTCTGAAAAATAGCATGCTGTACATAGAAAAAAAATATTATTAGGAGAGCCAGCATGTAAAATGCTATGATATGCCCAGCTGCCTTCACTCAGGCCCCAGGTCGATCTACTGCGTCATCCTGCGGTTGGCAGCAGCCAGCAGAGAACATCTAGGTAAGCTGCAAAGAGGGGAATACATTTTGATGTTCCCCATGGGAATATTCTCCCAGGACCCTGAGACGTGTGGCTCAGAGATTTCCCAAGTCAAATGTGTCTTTGTAGCTGGGAGCCTTTAATGGATTACTTTTTCCTTCACGACTGCTTCTTGAACCCATCTAAATTCTCAGCATCCACACAATCATACGCCAGGGACTTGACAGCTGCCCCCCAGCTACAAGGATCACATCCATGCCTCTGTCCCAAGCACACCACCTGCCAGTTCCAAATATGTTTTTATTTTTGCTTTTGGTCTTTCTGCCTTCATGAAACATCACTATAAAATATTCTAAGTGATGAAGATTAATCAGCTATAGACACAGTCTATTTAAATGAGCCTTCTCAGGCATTTCTCTTATCACAGTACTATTTTACTCCATCCTTGTTGACTGCAAGGTGTCTTTTTTTTTTTCCAGCAGACCACAACCAAACTGCCTCATTGCTATATATGATACTCAGAAGCTTCACATCAATCATTCTGTTTTCTCAGAGTCATTTCAGGCAATTGTGATCTTCATTTTTTTTATGATGCTGTTCATAGCAAGGCTTATGCTTTGAGGAAAGCAAGGCTGCACAAAAGAGCAAAAGACATTCCTAGTTGGAAGTAACTGGGAGAGAGCGATCAAAAGAATGGAGTTAATGAGAGAGTGACTTGGGAAAATCATCTCGAGGACATCTTGGTGTGCAGTGAAGGGGAAGAAGATTCAGTGTTAAAACTTGCATCTTTCTGAGTTTAGGGAGAAGTTGGGCACGCGCTCACAAACAGAAGGTGAAAACCACCAGTGCACATTCAGTAC